TTCTCATAAGGAGACAAACTGACTGCACAGTAAACGGGGCTCGGACGAGTTACCTCCCTTGAACTCAACAATACTATTTGCGTGAAAACGTGCTGCAGTTCATTTTGATTAGTTATAGAAGAAGAAAGAAAAGGAAAAAAACGTTATTACCCTGAATGGGAATTTGCTGTACATCACCACAGAGCACACATATGGATATAGGATAAATAAGATAAATAAAAGAGCATTTCCCACAGGAAAATGTACGGCAAAATAAATTATTCAACACATTAAAAATATGCATATAAAACAGTTATGATTAATATAACAACAACAATGTACATATACAGGTAAAGATAAGATTTGTATGTAAAAATATCATTTATTGTTTAAAAAGCCGATGCCGGACGGGATGAACGATTTCAGGGCTCCATTTGATTTAAACAGAGCCCTGAAATCGTTAAGGTTTGAAAATATTCATTCATTCATTCATTTATGACCGAATAAAGTAAGAAGCTAAGATGACGTTGTGATTCAGACTTAAAAAGAGAGCAAATATTCCAGCTATATGTCGGTGGTCTGTTTATAGTCGCCACTGGACCTGACGATACGGTGATTGACATGATACGCATTAATCTACGTAGTTGGCTAACGATAACATTTATCAACCAAGTCAGCGTCTGACCACTCGATCCCGTTAGTTGCCTCGTATGACAAGCATACTGAATACCATTTCTAACCGGAACATCGCCCTGTTTTGTCAAATAGAATCAAACATAGAGGAGTAAAACCACTTAAAACCACATCAAACCACGAAATATCCCTTAAAATATCATTTTGTAAGAGCTGATATAACTGACGAGGGAATATTAATGTTGGAGGCGATGTTAAGTGGATCAGGTGTTTACTGTAGTTAGTTGACATTAGGAGGTATGCTTTAAATCAGCACTGCATATTTTACTTCATGGTTTGCAAAAACACAAAGTTTGTTATCTCCCTTTGACTGTTGTGGCCATTGTCATTGCGTTACCGGTTACACAACACCAAATGTTTTCCCATAGACTTCTATGGTAGCCTTATATTTTTTTTTAAATTATCCAGGTTATCAACAGCCATTCCATGTACACATGGGTACACTCTGGCCTTTAAACTACCATAAAAACACAATATCTGGCCAACTTGTCCGGCTTGTTTTGCGAGCACAGGAAGCGGAACACATCAACCCCAGTTCCGCACCAAATGTCACCTACTGGAAAATATCTGTACCCACAATAAGTCATGGTGATGAAAATCACAGCACTGAATACTTAAAATTGTGGTCAGTTTTAATTACTGGTTGGATATGCTTTTAAAAACATAAACATCTTACACTATTTCATCCAATCACAGCTGTCACATGTCTCTATCTCTTCATTTGTTTACATACGGTTCTCGCTCAGTAAGCAAGCGATTCTCATTTAGTGTAGTATAACCTGTAATTTTTAAACTGGTTTCACTGCTGTTTCGCGCAATAAGCTTAACGCTATTACCCAACAGGGACAGGTGGTGACATGAAGGTGTATAAATATGTATCCAGTCCTAGTGCAGTCGTTAATATACATGAAAAACACGGACCCAATCCGCTCCTGCTGATGATGTACACGGTGGGGATTTAACGAGTGCTTCAGTCGTATCCGATTTCTCTCTCGGGGCATTCTAGAACTAAATGACTTTTAAATGTTTAATCAGTAAGAATATGCACAGAAACCTCCCATGAAGGCTGTAAAGTTTGTGTCAGGGAAGTATGTATATTATACTAGAGCTATTTACACGGAATATGTTTCAATAGGGAAACTAGGACTTGGATGTATGTTACGTGGACTCTCAGATCCTACCCTTCAATTTGTTTTTAATGAGATAATTGCCTCAATGGCAATATTGCTAGGATTTAGTGAGGAGGCTATGAATTAAGCACTGTGTGTGTTGTTGCAATGAATGTTGTAGTGATGACATTATTATATTAGGTAATTAATCTCCACTGCAGGGGCGGTGGGGTAGTCTAGTGGTTAAAGCGCTCGGCGAAGTACGGATTGCGATTGACAGCAGTATATGGGAAGTCTTGCCCATCATCTGCAACCATCAAGCGATGGGTGAGGGAATTCCAGTGCGGTAGAGAGGGTCTTGAAGATGACCCCGTCCTGGTCGGCCCACAACCAGCACCAGCCCGGAAAACATTGACACCAGGTGCTCACTCTGGTAATGAGCAACCGTCGAATCTCCATCCATGAGAGATGGGTCCCAAGAATGCTCACCAGCAAAATAAATCTTACGAGGATCATCATAAGTAATGCCATGAGAACAAGATATGAACAAAACCCAGATGACTTCCATTTTAGGTTAGTTACTTGTGACAAAACGTGGATTCATCACTATGACCCTGAGAGCAAACAGGAATCCATGGACTGGAAGTACGCCAAGTCTCCTCCGACCAAGAACTTCCAGTCGTCCAGATCGACCAGGAAGGTTATGGCCATCATATTTTGGGATAGCCGAGGCATCATCCACATAGATTACCATCCACCAGGAACTACGATGAATGAGGAATATTATGGTACCCTACTAAGAAAATGAGACAGTCCATCAAGGAGAAGCGCCGTGGCAAACTCAGGCGTGGAGTTCTTCTTCATGAGGACAACGCTCCAGTCATACCAGTCGTGTTTCACTGGCCGCTGTCGAAGAATGTGGATTTGAAATCCTACCTCACCCACCCTGTTCTCCAGACCTGGCACCAGGTGACTACCACCTGTTTCCTAATCTGAAGAAGCACCTCCCTGGTAGGAGATTCGAACATGATCATGAACTCAGCTGTGGAGACGTGTCTACAGGACCAAGAAAAGGACTTCTATAGACAAGGCATAAATACCTGACAGACAAGATGGACCAAGTGCATTGATTTACAAGGCGATTATGTTGAGAAATAAATGGGGATTGCATCGATGTTCTGCCTGTAAATATTTTAGGCTCAAAATTATATCCTATTTTGATAGCCCCTCGTCTGGTATTTGCCACAGCAGTGTGTGATTCCGATAACTGTTTCCGTTGTGATCATCCGTTGGCCTTGTCCTTGGAAGGAGGAGTAGAAAGACATCCACTTGTTGGGGAACCATTCATCACAACTCACATCATTTCGTAACCCAAGAGTTCACTACGAATGGCTCATTAACCAGACAAAATGCCACCATGTAACACACATTATATTTGGGATTACGCTTTCTCAGTAAGGTACGGATTTTAGTACTTTTGTTAGGTTGAGTCCTACCCGGGATTCGAACACACACACACTCGGAGTAATGCACCTAATCGGCAGCACACAAAGTCAGATCCGGGCAAAATGTCACCAGATAAATTGGTGCGAACCACTGAAGAATCATTATTGTGCCATGGGGGCAGATAGATTGATTCCTCCCTTCCATCCACTCACTCACTCACTCATTCACTTACTCACTCCAGAAAAAGCCTGTATCATTGTATACATGCCAACCTTGGTGATTATCGAAACTATCGCTGCACTTTTGTAACGACCTACCAAGCAACCACTCGCTGTTATATCATCCTGACCTGTAGCACAAAATGATTCTAAGTTCCAATGTGTATTGTTGAATGAAGGTCAGCATGGCTCACTGTGCCTGGGGCGGTGGGGTAGCCAAGTGGTTAAAGCGGTCGCTCATCATCCTGACGACAGGGTTTCAAATCCCTGGATGGGTACAATGTGTGAAGCCAATTTCTGGTATCCCCGCTGGTTTATTGCTGAAGGCGGCATAAAAACTCACTCACTCACTCACTCACTGTGCCAATATAGAGCAATCATACTAACTAACACAAAATTCATTTTCAGGACGTGACATGTGAAAAGTTGTTGGTTGCACTAAAGCCCTTTTTCACAAGGCAGGGATTTCAAGTGGCTTATATATCACAGGTCAATTTCTATCCTTGCCAATGAAACAGATTTTCACAGTAAAGATACGTATTACAACCACATATGTTGCTCTTACAATAACAGACTAAGATATACAGACTAAATACAAAATAAGCACCGCACCGAGTCACTGCCACAAATGTTTCACTTAAACGGATGCAAAATGTGATCATAAACGTTTAGAAATGCCTTAAAATACTTCTGGGGGGTATTGCAAATCATTGCAAATTTGACAGGCGATTACACTGGCAATATTAGCCACCACATTTTCAGAATACTGATGTAAATCGTTCCCAGATCCATATGTCCATATGTCCGTTCATATGGTATATTATCTTGGTTGGTTTGTTGTTTAACGCCGCACTATATTCCAGCTATATGGCGGTGGTCTATAAATAATCGAGTCTGGACCAGCCAATCCAGTGATCAACAGCATGAGCATCGATTTACGCGATTGGGATACTGTGGCATGTGTCAACCAAGTCAGCGAGCCTGACAACCCGATCCCGTTAGTAACAAGCATGGGTTACTGAAGATCAATTCTAACCCGGATCTTCACGGGTCTCATATATTATCGCAGCACATACGACTTTAATGACAATGTCCATCTCTATAGTACCAAGCCCTATTTTGTACAGCAGCTTTGAGAAGACAAGTGGATAAACCTTCTCGTCTTTAAGCCATTTCAAACCAAAATATATTTTGAGGCAAGACAGTTATTTTGGTTCTTGTCACCTTAAACAGGCAAAATGTCCACTATCCAGTATCAAAGTCCATTTATCCACCATTGTGATTAAAGTCGCATTTGCTGTGATACGATGTGATATAATGTCAGTGTGACATCGGTCTACACATTTAACGTCCGTGTCCTCAACATGTGGTGATATATATGACGTAATTTACCTTGTCAGGGGAATATTTGTACTCACGCATTTTAATATAAACAAGTTCAGGCAGTAACGTGGTAAATGAGGAAAACATGGCTATCGGAAACACATCCTTACTGAAATTAATTATCTCGTGTAAGCTAAATCGCAATTTGTGAAACCGAGAAACGGAACTCCATGCTGTTTTCTCAGAATTAGTTAGACGTGGCACAAGTGGTGACGGAAAATTATCAAGAAACCAATTAGTATCACATCATAACATTGGCAGACACTATATCCGGGGATATAATAGCTTAATGTAGCTACACGCTATTCACATTTGAAGTACGTCTTTTGACTGAGACCATAAAGTATGATTTGGATACTCGTTGTTTCCCAGCTCTTATTTGGTTTTTCAACCAATGCCAATATTGTAAAGAAACATTGTCAACTGATAGAAGAGTACAAGGAATTCCAGACTACCATGGATACATACTTGGCATCGAGCGACGACGTCTGTCAAGGCGAAACTGAAAACTACAAGGGTGAGTATTTCTTTGTGAGATCCACGTAGAGTAGTAAATGACTTGGGCGTAAATGAAGTGGTCGATGGGGTAGCGTACTTGTAAAGGCGGTCGTTCATTACATCAAAGGACTGTTTCGTTCCCAACATGGGGATAATGTGTCCCCAGTCTTGGTGTTTGTGGAATATTGATATTAAGCACCCTATAGCGGTGTTCAAACAGTACTCACAAAATATCTTAGCGACGTTTCGGCTTGGGTACCTATAATAAAAATAATACCTGTATAGCGCTGAACTCCACCCGCACGGGCATGCTCTAAGCGCATACAACGTAATGGAAAACCCATGCTGCCTGTGAGTCATTTCACATGATCCCACCGGTACCCATTTTCTGCTGGGTGAACAGGGGCAATTTTCAACAAATTCACTTGCCTAGGGTGAGGCGTGGCCAGGACTGATGTCCTACTAAACTCTCATCGAGTCTCGCTGCCAAACACGGTCACCCATCCAAGGACTTCCCGTGACCAACGTCGCTTAACGTTAACTGTTTTGTGACCTGGGCTCTATGCGTAAGACCACACACACAACCACCAATATGATAGGAGTAACTCACGCAATTACATAATACATATCTGCGCGCACATCATCAACCTATAATAAGGTGAGGTGAGGTGAAATTGGGTTTAACGTCGTGCTTGAGCATATTTCGCTCACATGACGACGTGCATGCGTGTGTGTGTATGTGCGGCTGCTTGTACTAGCCCAGACTTAAGCTGGTTTTATAGTGCTAGCCCACTAAGATACCATGCCGCAGTGAAGCATGAATACCCCACTCAGACACATTATACTGACTCCGAGCCGACCAGTCCTTGTTGTACCCATTAATGCCGAGCGCCAGGCAGGGACCAACAAGTACCATATTTTAACGTCTTTTGGTATGACGCGGTCGGGGATCGAACCCGCGACCTTCCGCTTTCCGGGCGGACGCTCTAACCACTTCACCACGGAGGCGGTCCCTATAATAAGGGACTGTGGCATTGTCGTGTAGTTGATCCTAAGAGATGGACAAACTTGATCAAATTAACCAACATGTGACTAATTCCATGTCCCTAAAGCGGTACCAATGGTTGACCAATGGTTGCATGCTCGCCTTTTCGATGTTCGTGCTTTGAGCATTAGTTGTCTGTTTTACCAAATGACACCAATGCGATGATGTGACATTTCCGAGGTATAAATATAATTATGTAGCTGCATAGTAGCCCTGTCTTAATGTGTAAACGAAGGTGTTAAAATAGACGTCAACACGACACCGACACGTTGTTGGTTACGTCTCCAGTGCTAAATCAATCCCTATAAAATCAATGTAAACAGACTAATGTCTTGACTAACAAGAAGATGACATTAGACAACAATGCAGTTTTCTCGAGCTATTTTTTTCACAAACTGGCTAGTTCTATTCAAGGTTGCGTCTTGCGAGTCATATTTTGACAAAGGTCACTTTTCAAAATCTGGAAACTGAACGACAGAAAATCTTATACATGGTCACTCCCGTATGGCAGTAATTTCCACCAGTTATGCAAAGTCTCATCACTTTGAAAAGTTTGTCCAGTTTAAACCAGGGATAGACGACGACGCTATCAGGTGTACAGCCCAGAACGGACTTATGGAATTCGCCCTGTTAACCCTTTCGCGGTTGTATGACTGTATTTAGTGTTTTCAGTCTTCGATTGTATATTTATAAGGACAAAACTTATATGCATAATTACTCCCCCACTCGCTCATACAACAACTTCATTTGTAGACCAGTTGGACAGCTGAGGTCATTATGTACAATCCGCCGTCATATTGTTGGAATATTACTGAGTGCAGCGTTAAACAACAAACGAACAAACAAGCAAACAAAGAAAAGGGTCGAGAGGCTGAAAGTCCGACAGAGAGTTATTATACCTGTATAACTGATGCCTGAACACCAGGGTCCACTTGAATACATCCTTACATATGTACAAGTATCAACACTCTGAAATTTCTTCGTGAAATTCGAATACAATGTTGTACCTCTCATATGTTGAATACGAATCTATAATTTCAGATTGTGCAAGTATTTTGAAGGAATATCCTAATGCTGGAGATGGCGTGTACAGGATACAACCCTCAGACGAACAAGGCTCTTTCAAAGCGTACTGCGACATGACCCAACATGGGGGCGGCTGGCTGGTAAGTACATTCACGCTGCATTAACGGTAACCTCATCTCTGTGTCATCGACAACAAGAACTAAAACAAAGTAAGAATTTTGGGGGGCATGTTTCTCCTTCACGAAAGTTTGTATGTGACTGTGAATGTTGTTCAGTGTGGTGCCAGCTCTAACATGGCGACCTGGACAAGGAGTAATAGTGAAAGGGACATAAGAAGCCACCAGCCACGGTAAAACATCCAGGAGTAGGAACACAAGGCTCCCACCTTAGTCAACCATTTCCAAAAGCATGACATGCTGATGGCCTATTCTGACTGATTCATAACTAGCGATAAAAAAGGCTTTTAGAGCAGGTCAGCTGAAAAGGACTAACGATGCTTGGAAATACTATGGAATACGTTGAAGAATACGTTGGAAATTAAAGTTGAAAAACTACAGATGAATAAAGAGTAGTAAAGGTTGGATAAAGGAGCACCCCTTTGAATGTGCGTTAGTTGTCAGTCGTGTCAAATGTATTTGAGCAAATACAATCGGTCGTTGATTGTTTTAGCTTTGGAATGCATCACCTACAAAGTGCATCTCTTAAGTCTTAAAATCATAATTGATATCCATTTTCTGCTTTCTCTTGCAGCCGTCGAGTTGAGTTGAGTTGTACCATAGACCGTTCAGTGTTACTCAAATGTAAAAGGAATTGTAACCTGGTGTAGAAATACATAGTTTTGTCAGCTTTAACGTGGGTGTACATTGTTGCACATCTGCATATTTTGTGTTGAAGGTGATTCAGCGGAGAGTGGATGGGCTGGTGGATTTCTACAGGACTTGGTTTGAGTATATGGAAGGCTTTGGCAATCTCACCGGGGAGTTCTGGCTGGGTAAGAATGAGTACAAAGACACAATTGCAGATAATATTGAACATTTAATATCGTGTTATGTGATGGAATCTTAAAGTTGGAATCGATGTGTTCTTGAAAACTCGTCATTTTACACCAGCATTATGACAGTAACATAGCATAAGAGGATAATGGTAAGCATGTAGATTGAGAAAGTGGCCTGTTTGTCACACGAATGGTCACAGTGACATGTCATTAATTTCTCTCTAAATAACAAATTCAGGTAGGCATTTCTGTCCAAGTGTCTGGGATGTTTTCCTAGAGACCCTTTTACCAGGGAGAGAAGTTACCATGATGTTCATCATCAGTGACCCTTACGTACATTGAACATGTAAAGGCTTAGTCTCCAATGTTAGGATTTTAATAACTAAAGGTATTTGCAGTGGAATTTGAAGTTAGACCATTAATGTGCAGATCAACAGAAATATTTACAAAGGAAAATAAGACGTAAAACACAAATATAAATACAAAAATAAATACAAATATATGATGCTACATTTGAGTGAGTGATTGAGTGAGTTATTATTTAACGTCACATCGGCAATATTTCAGCCATATCATGACGAGAACACTTGACATTGAATGCTACATTTGACGTGCAGGAAGTACTTTATTTATTTGCAGGTAATGAGAAGATACACCGTTTAACCCACCAGACAACATACGAATTACGAGTTGACGTAATGTTTATGGATGGGAAGATTGCATATGGTCACTACAGAAACTTCCGGGTTGATAACATGTCAACCTTTTACAGGCTTGTCATTAGTGGATTCTCGGGAAGTGCCGGTATATATTTCTTCAAATATTTTAAAGTTCTTTGAGAAGTAATATTTTGTAACTGGTCTGAGAGATAAATGTATGTTCGATAATTTACTGTTGTGTCTACGGTACATTAAGTAACAAGCATTTACAAGACCGTGGTGATACAGATCATGTGCTACACTGTACCTCGACATTATAATATCACAAATACAACACATGTGCTACAACGTACCTTCACTCCACATCATCACCTGTACAAAACACGTGATACAGCGTACCTTCACTCCACATCACCACACATACAAAACACGTGCTACAACGTACCTTCACTCCACATCATCACCTGTACAAAACACGTGATACAACGTACCTTCACTCCACATGATCACATACCAACACGTGATACAACGTGCTTCACTCCACATCATCACATACAAAACACGTGCTACAACGTACCTTCACTCCACATCATCACCTGTACAAAACACGTGATACAACGTACCTTCACTCCACATGATCACATACCAACACGTGATACAACGTGCTTCACTCCACATCATCACATACAAAACACGTGCTACAACGTACCTTCACTCCACAACATCACATACAAAACACGTGCTACAACGCACCTTCACTCCATATCATCACATGCAAAACACGCGCTACACCGTACCTTCACTCCACATCATCACCTGTACAAAACACGTTATACAACATACCTTCACTCCACATCATCACATACAAAACACGCTATAACGTGCTATACTCCACATCATCACACATGCAAAACATGTGCTACAACGAACCTTCACTCCACATCACCACACATACAAAACGCCCAGAGAGCGGAAGGTCGCCGGTTCGATCGCAGGCCGCGTCATACCAAAAGACGTTAAGATATGGTACTTGTTGGTCCCTGCCAGTCGCTCGGCAATAATGGGTACAACAAGGACTGGTCGGCTCGGAATCAGTATAACATGTCTGAGTGGGATATTCATGCTTTAGTGTGGCATGGTATCTCAGTGGGCTAGCACTATAAAACCAGCTTAAGTCTGGGCTAGTACAAGCAGCCGCACATTCACATACATACACATGCACGTCGTCATATGAGCGAAATATTCTCAAGCACGACGTTAAACCCGATTTCACCTCACCATCATCACATATAAAACACGTGCTACAACGTGTTTCACTCCACATCATCACATACAAAACACGTGCTACAACGTACCTTCACTTCACAACATCACCTGTACAAAACACGTTATACAACGTACCTTCACTCCACATCATCATCTATACAAAACACGTGCTACAACGTGCTTCTCTCCGCAACATCACACATACAAAACATGTGCTACATTGTACCTTCACTCCACAACTTCAGACATAAATATATGCTTTAATATACCTTCACTTGACATCGTCACATATAAACTTGTGCCACAACGTACCTTCACTCCACATCATCACACATTCAAAACATGTGCTACAACGTACCTTCACTTCACATCACCACACATACAAAATACGTGCCACAACGTACCTTCACTTCACATCACCACACATACAAAATACGTGCCACAACGTACCCTCACATCACATCACCACGCATACAAAAAATGTGCCACAACGTACCTTCACATCACATCACCACGCATACAAAACATGTGCCACAACTTACCTTCACTCCACATCACCACACATACAAAGCATCAACTTCAATGTAGCGTCACTCCAAATCATCACATATACCGAAAACGTGCTTCAGTGTGTCTTCACGCTAGAAGTTCACCAATACAAAAGGCTTGCTGCAATATATCTTCATTCCACATCACTACACATACTAAATATGTCCTATATCTATAAAGATCACAGATTCTAAAGATGTGCCACTGTGTAGTTTCATTTCACATGACCACTCATAAAAAAACTATTAACATACAAACGTTTCATAATTACTTAAATAAACGATAAAGGCGTTTCAAATATTAACACTTATCAACATTTACAATAAAGTACTAATATGTTTACACGAAAGGTTAAAACTCAGTTACACAAAGTTATCATTTACAGTCACGTATTTGTACATGAGAATACGTCAATTGCAGGTGACCCTCTGACTGCGCATAACAGAATGCGTTTCACCGCCAAGAATCTGGATTTGGACACACACAAGACCGCAAACTGTGCTGTCAGTTACCGGGGAGCATGGTGGTACAAAGCATGTCACTCATCCAACCTCAACGGCATCTACAACGACACCACAACAAAAGGAATGAGATGGGGTAGCAAGTCCTGTCTGCGTACAAGTATGAAAATTCGCCCACAACACAGAGACAATGGAGAATAGTCTTGTTTATACTGTTCGTAATCTAATCTAGGATCTGCTTTATCGAATGCAACCAACCCATTTATTGGTAGAGCTGTGACGATATATCGTAGTATCGATGATCGTGATACTTTATCTGACGATGAATATGTCGATACTTTTTTTCGTATCGTGATATGTATTGTTGACCTTAAAATTATTAATTTTCAGCAGAAATTGGCGGTTATGTCAAAATTTACACTGTTACTTGCTATCAAAATATACATTTTGAAAGAAAATAACTAAAGATAGCATATCGTGATATGCATTGAATCGATTTGTATCGTTCCAAGATATCGCAATACGTATCGTATCGTGAAATGTCTGTATCGTCACACCTCTATTTATTGGTAGGTCTGTTTAATTGTATACGATGTGTAAAAATATCTTAAACTGTTACATCAATTCACTTTGCAGTTAAAACAGCTTGGTAAAAAACAGACTGACTCATATTCGCAAGGACTGTACATTTACCCAAATTTACCCACATTCCCCAAATGATGCAACTGGGTGTTCATATTCTAATTTCCCATTCCTTACTTAGTACACAAATTCTCTGGCCAGAGACAAAACGAGACACTTTGAGAAGTATTCGGTTTTACTTGGCCAGACAATGTCAAGGTTTGTAGGTTTCTAGATGAATAATGTCTGTGTATGAATTCATTAACCATTATTGAACGTCACTGAGCTTGTCAGATTTCACAACTACGATGTTCTGGGATCTGTACTATTATCGGTGTTCAAATGGTTATTGTAGCGATGCAGTATCTACAGCATCTGATTGGGTGGCAGCCTGAAGGTCTGCCTTTAGTAGTGACCTCAATAATTGTTTCTTACACGCAGGATGGTTAAGGTTACACAACTCCAACTGTTTTCCAACATACTTCTAAAATAACCTTATATACTAACCTTTTAAAAAATTATCCAGGCTATCAACAGCCATTCCATGTACACATGGGTACACTCTGGCCATTAAACTACAATAAAACACAATATCTGGCCAACTTGTCCGGCTTTTTTGGCGAGCACAGGCAGCGAAACACATCAACCCAAGTTCCACACCAAATGTCACCTACTGGAAAATATCTGTACACACAATAAGCATAAGTCATGGTGATAAAAATGACAGCACAAAATACTTAAAATTGTGGTCAGTCTTAATTACTGGTTGGATGTGCTTTTAGAAAACATAATCATTTTACACTATTTCATCCAATCACAGATGTCACATGTCTCTGTCTCTTCAGTTGTTTACATGCGGTACTCGCCCAGGGAGCATGTGATTCTGTAGTGGAACATTTAGCAGACATTATAACTGTTTAAGTTTTTGAAGGGAGTGGATATATCACACAGATTACATCCTTACCTTGTCAGTATGAAGGGGCGGTGGGGTAGCCTAGTGGTTAAAGCGTTGGCACGTCACGCCGAAGACCCGGGTTCGATTCCCCACATGGGCACAATGTGTTAAGCCCATTTCTGGTGTCCCCCGCCGTGATATTGCTGGAATATTGCTAAAAGCGGCGTAAAACTAAACTCAGTCAGTCAGTCAGTCAGTATGAAACTTCGTCTGCAACCTAAATACTGGGAAGGCGAAATTGCTCAAACACTCAAACAGTGTATCTTATAGAATTGTGTTTACTACCTCAGATTTTACTGTTTTAAAAAACCTAGCAAAATTTATAAATGTGATCTTTCCTACAGTATCACAATAGACATGTTATACCAACAACTGATTTTCTACAATATATTGTTATACTCCGCCGCCATTTTGACTGTATGTAATAATTGTTGTGTGTAATATGTACTCTTATACCACCATAGGTGGTCTATTGCGAATAAAGTAAAGTGAAATGTGTGAGAGGCACGATAGTGTATTGTTGTGATTAGTATTAAGAAACTATTGTAAGCTTACTACTTTCAAAGTGTACCCAATGAGCATATGCCTTTATGACTTCACGTTGTAGATGCTTCTGTACTATAGTGAATACACTAGGCTCGTTTCCTAGACGCGCTTCATATCAAAGGGCTTAAACATGGACTGGTCAGTTTGGAGTCAGTGTAATGTGCGTGCAGGGTATTCATGCTAACCTCTGACATGGTAACTCTGTGGGATGGCAGTAAAAAACATAAAACATAATACTTCTGGACTACAACAAGCAACCACACACTCGTGTACTTTGCGACACAGCTTCAATAATCTTGGAAATTAACACTCAGTAACCAATAACCCTCACCTCACCGTGAGTGACGGTATGTGACGTGCATATCATCTGTGCCACTCATACATTTAAGGGATCATCATAAGTGGGTCCAGAACCTTTTCAACTAAACCTATGGATAATTTGTCATTTTATGTTTACTTAGGAAACAATATGTGAAATGTAACGCATGATATATTTTGGATTCCACTTTCTCAGTAAAGTAGAGATTCTAATATTTCTCAGACCCTCAGAGTCCTGCACCTAATCGCCTGTACTTTAATGAGAAAGTGTAATTCCAAAAATGGCATGTGATGGGTGCCAACGGTGTTGCGATCACTTGGTATCATCACTACTTAATCGCGAATGTTTATGATTACAGAAATGTTTTTTGCCTCTTTTATTGACCGATAACATTACATACGACACGACACATAATCTGTAACGCAACACAAACTCTAATGTAACATGTAGTCATTCCACGTCCATCATTTTTTTAAAAGGCTTGACATTTGGACATTGGATATACTGCAAAGTCACACAAACAGATTTATACAGACATTACGATACTTGATTTACATACATTCTGTGTCATTTGTGAAGTTCAGAAAGGAACTGGGGTCATCACATGGCTATAACATAGGCCTTAGCGCTGTCATACTCACAGTCACGCAAGCAAATAAACAGAGAAAGTCAATTACAGGCCTGACACATGAACAAAAACACCGGTGTTGTTCTGTTGAGGAAATGGAAATTGGGGCATGTCGTTTAATGTAAACATGAGCAGGAAGTAGCATGCTACTTCAGGAAAACACTGCTGTCGTCAGAAAACTCCTTACACAAATTAAGTACCATAAGTGCAAAGAACCCTCATTTATGAAACGGAACTATGTATGTCATGATAATATTTTAGAAGTGGCACAAGTGGTGACGGAAAATTATCAAGGACCCAATTAGTATCACATCATAACATTCGCAGCCACATATATCCGCAGATATAATAGTTTAATGTAGCAACACGCTATTCACAGTTGACGTGCGTCTTTTGACTGACACCATAAAATATGATTTGGATACTCGTTGTTTCCCAGCTCTTATTTGGTTTTTCAACCAATGCAAACATTGTAAAGAAACATTGTCAACTGATAGAAGAGTACAAGGAATTCCAGAGTACCATGGATACATATCTGGCATCGAGCGACGACGTCTGTCAAGGCGAAACTGAAAACTACACTGGTGAGTGTCACATTGCGTCATCTTTTTTGTAGATTTGGGCTTTACTGATGGCCTGATGGAGAGCGTCTGCACGAGGGATGTCGTATTTCTTTATTTCATACTGAAAGGCCACAGGCCTATAGTACATTGATTAATCATGTGCGGGTAGTAGAGCATTCTTTCGGAGAATAAAAGCTTTATGGATATATATGGACAATCTTTCTATATGTGTTTTACTGGAATTATTCATCAATGATATAAACTTATGCATTTCAGGATGTACATAATAATATTTCTTTATATATCTATTTCTTAACGATAAGTATGCTGGGCAAACACATAAAAAGTGAAATTCATCTTCGACCTCGTGTAAGTTGCACATTTGGCAGATTCTACTTTCTTTCTCAATACCTTGGTATCTCCCAGTTTCAACATATAAATCATGCGCGGAGCAGCGGAATCTCGACAATGAAGATTTATATTTCCTTATGGTCAAGACTGAAAGATAATGTTCTGCATATATGGAATCTTTTATCATTTTGTAATAAAAACATTTATTAGATAATGAGAGACTAGTTATTACCAATTTTGAAGGAATATATCTTTAAGTCTTTGTTCAACTGTACAGACAAAGTGAGAATGACATTCTACAAATTGTTCATGCCAGGCATTGCCGAAGCCGATGGATGATAATAACTGTTTTATGTCTGTTACCCAATTACGTTTCCCATGGCTATCATATAGTATCATCATTTCATAACATTTTCTTGGCAATCTGTGTGAGGGCATTGTTAATAATTTCAACCAATATCTAATAATTTTTACATTTGATTCTATGTACAATGGATATCTTCCACATTCTCCGTAGACCATACAAGTTGACGTGGCTGTTTTTACGCCCAGAAATTTCTTGCATGCATACAAATTGACTTTTTCTATGACATCAAAAGTTTTAAAACCCCATACTTCTGCACCATATAACAAAATTGGGTATATTTTGGGGTCAAATATTTTGAAACAAGACTTGTAAGACAAGTCGCCTAAAATATGTATATATTTTATTATACCTATTAATATTTTCTTTGCTTGTATAGCTGCCTGTGATGTGTGTACTGCCCATGAAAGATGATTGGTAAAATGTACGCCTAAGTATTTATACGAAGTGGTTGTTTCCAGTCTTGAAGAACCATTTTTCATTATTGGCTAGCTTACCTCCATTTTTAAAAACAACTATCTTTGTTTTAGACTGGTTTACAGTTAGTTTCCATTTATCACAATAATTCTCTAGTTCAATAATTTCTATTTGTAGGCCTTTAATTGTGCTTGAAAACAATATGATGTCATCGGCAAATAGTAACAGGAATATTTGCATTATATCTGGATGTAATTGGATACCGTTTGAACAGTTTTCTTGGATTTGGGTTGCTAGTTCATTTATGAAAAATGTAAATAGAAAAGGGCTTAATATACAGCCTTGTCTGACTCCTAATTGGCTCGGAAATGTATCTGATAATACACTTTTACTCCTTACACAAATTTTCACATTTGCATATATGCTCCGCAGTAATTTTCCAATTTTGCGACTGACACCATTATGCCCCTATCTTCTTCAAATGCTTAAATACGACCCGGGCATAGTTTACTGGTTAAAGTGTTCCTTAGTCATGCCACATTTTAGAGTCTCGTCCCCATGGCACTGATTGACTATTTCTGAAAGCGTCGTAAAACCACACTCGTCCGTTTCTCATTCAAAATCTTCAAAATAGGTCCTTACCTGTTTATCTACAGCTACAGACTTGTGTATTACCTGTGTGTTAATGTATCTTTCTATGAACACCATCGGATCCCTCTGGGGTAAAACTGCCACATTTTGATATAACTGCCACTTTCTAGATGAATCCATTGTCATGTTAACGGCCTTACAAAACCAATGAAACATAGAAAATTGTAACTCGACATCCACTTGACAACACTACATTTTTAACAACTGTTGCATTTTGCCCTGTTTGAAAGATTTTCTTTGCATTATTTACCAAAAGACAAACACGTTATATTTCGTTGCCCTATCTAGAGTGCGAGGGAAAAGGGGTTAAAATGCCAGACACATGTTGCTATAACTACCACTTTCTACATGACTCCAGTGTCATGTTATCAGCCTTAAAGACGAAGTTAACCGCTTAACAGGATGTTCCCTACAGCTGCTATAGATTGGGTCCGGAGGCTGAATCCAGTCAGGATGTAAAATTAACGTTTATGTGTGACCATCGAATAACTGAGTCACATGAGTACATATGTGAAAGCATCGCCAATCTGAATTGCCTTATGAAAAAGGCATCTCCAGGTTTGACTTATGTATTTATGTTCATATTTATATTTATTTTTAGATTGTGCAAGTATTTTGAAGGAGTATCCTAATGCTGGAGATGGCGTGTACAGGATACAACCCTCAGACGAACAAGGCTCCTTCAAAGCGTACTGCGACATGACCCAACATGGAGGCGGCTGGCTGGTAAGTATATATGTATATATATACATGCACGACGCGTCGTTATATATCCGTGCTGTAATAAGCTTGGTTTAAAAAAATGGCAATTTGGCAATGTAAACAAATATTTTCAAACCCAGGAAAAGAATACATTTTGGGGAATTGGAAAAAGCACTGACCAAAAGCAACCATCCCAGCTTCAATGGTACCATGACATGATACTCATTCTTTCTACTACCCATCAAAATTACATTTTGGGTAGTGAGTGAGAAAGTGCATTGCACTTACCAAATGCAACCATCAAAGATACTGATAACATCAGTCTCATTCTTCACAAAATGTTAAATTTACAGTCTTAAATCAGCTAGATTTATTTCTGAACGTATTTCCAAATTCTTAAACAGAACAAAGGTTATTCGGTATTTATCCTGAAATGCCAACTATGCATCATGGCCACATGTACATGTAAAAGCAATCATTTGTTATTGCGTGATCCCAGGTGTTTACGTGATCAATCATACTCGTGCTTCTGAAGTTTTCTGATTTTTCAGTTTACTGAAAGCACGGAAAGGTCGGGGATTGTGAAGAGCATTAATTCATAAAAACAACTCCTTACAATTGGAGGTCATGTATGATGGATTTTTGCGTGTATATGATCCCAGAACAAGGTCAGGTGCAATCCTTGCACTGCAGCCACACACGATCATGATCTACTTGACCTTCTGAACATGTGTGATTCTAAATTCCATTTCATGATGAACCCGTGAAGATCCAGGTTAGAATTGATCTTCAGTAACCCATGCTTGTCGTAAGAGGCGACTAACGGGATCGGGTGGTTAGGCTCGCTGACTTGGTTGACACATGTCATCGTATCCCAACTGCTTATATCGATGCTCAAGCTGTCGATCACTGTATTGTCTGGTCAGGACTTGATTACCTACAGACCGCCGCCATATAGCTGGAATATTGGAATCCAGGAGGAGAAAAGGAGTGATAATCACTTGTTACTATTAGATCACAAATCTAAAATATTAACTAAATGTCTAGAGTTACCAGAGACTTTATCCTTGTATATGTACTGATTGAAGTTTGGTGTCAGTTGTTGAAAGTTCAATGCAGACGAAGCCTCTTGAGTTGTCGGTCTTGAAACGTCGATGTTAGCAGATTGATGAGCGTAAATCCAAAGTCGTCCCTTCATCTCAACACCCACCCCTTATATACCTATTATATAGTTCGAGATTTTCCTGACAAAAGCCATGCCACACCGCCAAGTTGTCAGGGCTTCCAGAATCCCACCGGAAGCAAAACAAACAAAGGGAGCAACTCCTCAGTCCACTCTTAACAGGTGAAATTACATAGCCTAAGTAAAAGATGCCAGTTCAAATCCACATTCATTAAACTCTTGTGACCCATAATAACTAAAAATGAATTAATGTGACTTCATAATCAATAAAAACGCACCCTCATAACATGTTTAAATGCGCGTCGAGCCTTGGCATTTCAAATATTAACTTTGTCTAAATTATGGACTGTAGGATGTTTGCAAAAATATTTTTCAGCTTTCTTCCTGTACATTCTTGTCTGTTTGCATTCATTTTTGAACCATGGTTTACGAATGCGTGGAGTTGCAGAGGACTTTGGAATTGTTCTGTCAGCAATGTTATTAAGTATATCCCCAAAAGACTGAATAGGATCTTCACTTTTCCTGAATAGGTCATGCTTCTAGCGTTCAACAAAGAGTCTCATATAATGACCAATCAACTTTGGCGAAGCCCCTTCTGGATACAGGTGGATCATCGCCAGGTTTTATTGTTTTGAGTATGGTGGGAAATTGATCACTCCAACATAGGTCATCATGGACCATTCATTCAAATTCATTATATAAGGTTGAATGGGTGAGTGGTAGATCCAGGAAGAATATGTTCCCGTAGCTTGATGGAGATAAGTGGCTGAATCATCATTGAAAATACATAGATTTGTATCGCAAATAAGTTCCTCAAGGATTTTACCTTTATTATTATTGTGGACTCTTCCCGAAACGGGTTGTGTCCGTTGAGGTCACCCATGATGATAAATGGGTTTGGAAGCTGACCATATAAATGTTGTAGACCCGACTGTCGAATGTCAGAAGAAGGGGGCATAGACAAGCTGCACAGAGTCGATGCAATGTGCAGGGTCAGACCAACAGCTAGAGTCTGAAGATTTGTATTAAGTGAAACAGGGCTATGTATTATACCGTACCGCATTAAAATGGAGGCACCCCTAGTTCAGCGTAAGACTAAACCCACTTGCTCACTCCCATTTGATGATGAATTCTGAAATTAGAACATGTTATGTTGAAGGTGATACAACGGAGAGTGGATGGCCTGGTGGATTTCTACAGGACGTGGTTTGAGTACATGGACGGCTTTGGCAACCTCACAGGGGAGTTCTGGCTGGGTAAGGATATATACAAAGACAAAGTTTAAAAGACCATTCCACTTTGCACATTTCTTATGGAAACTAACAAATCCACCACAATAACAAAGGTGTAGGTGTTATCAATGTTTTCAGAACTCCAAACAGCTGACAGAATAAGTATATTTTAGGAAAACGATAAGCTTATCACACTATAAGTTTAAAAACCAGTCCATTTTCCCTGACTGAAATCTTTGGACGTCAGTAAAAAAATACATTCAGTGTAGTTCAACGTTGACGAGACTAAATCACGTTTTATGTCTTTGTATTCATTGCAATTCTTGCTTTCTGCTTAACTGACCTGTTCATGTACAAATGAATGCACAAAGCCATGGCACAGTGGTCTACTTCCACGGCTTGCGAATGTTACGGAATCTGAAATTACAGTTGAGGGAATTCCCTTTCTGCCTACCTGTCTCATCATGCATAACACCTTTTGCGATATTCATTCATATTCTGGGTTGTCCCTTCCAGTTGATTTTAACGCAGAGAAACTCATTTGTATATGGCGCTGTTGCCATAATACTTTAGTTTATAATGTTCACAATGTGGATAGTTATTAAAGGGTTAGGGCACTATTAAGACTCACTCACTCACTCGAAGGACAGGAGGACAGACGATTCCCCATTTAATATTTCAAATGGTGAGGGACAGCAATGTGTCTACAGACCTCTGGGGAGCGTTATGCTTAAGTCTAATTCATGGAATGGAACAGTTTTGTGGATTGTTTTCGGTGATGATCTAGAGTGAAATAAGTGTCCGTCGGGAACCCTTTCAGGACAAGTTGACACGTGAGATCAGATTCTCTTACGACTGTCAATTCCGTTTGTTAAACCCCATGCGCCAGAATTTACATTCCAACTGGATAATTGCCCGTCTTAACACGACCGGGACTGCTGTGGTGTATTTGGACTCGTTATGCCAATACTATGGAGGTTAAACACGTTGTTCAGCCGACTTCTTATAATCGCAATATCCACCCATCAAAAGATGGGTGGACATTGTTTCTAATTTCGTTACATTAAAATATTTAGGAAAACCCGAAGAATTTGCTTTCTGTGCCCATCCTTACACATATGGCGTTGCTATGGCTATGCTATTTGGGATTATCACATTTATACAGTGGACATTAAATATGCTGTTTAGCAATCTTCTTATGATGTCAATATCCACCTACTAAATTTTTGGTGTTGTTTTATTTCCAAATTTAGAAAAACATAACAATGCAAAATGCACAGTTACTTTTTGTTTATTGCATTCTTTAACAGATGAAAATATTACTTTGAAACATTTTCATATGCATTATCCTACGTTATGAATTTACTGAATTTATTGTTTTGTATGTGAACTCAGAACGTATTATGTAGAAAGTATTATATACCACTTCAGGTAACGAGAAGATACACCGTCTCACCAAACAGACAACCTACGAACTACGAGTGGACCTCACGTTTACAGACGGGGAGACTGGGTTTGCCCACTACAACAACTTCCGACTAGGCGACATGTCGACCTTCTACACTCTTGCCGTCAGTGGGTTCACGGGCAATTCAGGTAAATGATGTCAATAGTATTTGTCTCGTATAATCGAGACTGATTATTTCGTTTGTATTTAGAATATTTGACGTATATATTCCATGGACGCCGCATTCTTGCTTTTGTAATGTTTAAGGCATATTTCACTTTCAGTTGTTTTGTTGTATTTAGTCCACCTACCTTCGTTAGAAGGTGAAATATGCATTGACATAGCGGGATTTGGCATTAGGATTTGGCGTATTGAAACTGGACCACATGTTTTTCTTCATCAGAATGAGATTGTGAAATATCGTTGTACGTTATTATTTTGTTGTTTTGAATCATGGTGTACAGAAGAATAGCAGAAGACTTAACTTCAATTATTAAAATATAAAACAGTTTCATTAAACATTTTTAGGCTATATTTTGGTCCGGCTCATCAAAAAAACAATGTTTTCCTGTTTTATAATCGCAGTTAAAGTAATTGGATTGTTGCTTGTAAAGTATGATTTTCTATTTTTCAGGTGACAAAATCACGTGGCATAATTCTAGGCGCTTCAGTGCTAAAAACCTGGAGTTGGACCTGAATAAAGGTGAAAACTGTGCTGTGAAGTATCACGGAGCTTGGTGGTACAATGCTTGTCACCTCTCCAACCTCAATGGTCTTTACAACGATACCACAAATAGAGGAATGAAATGGGGCACTGTCCTTGTTTGCACACATACAAGTATGAAAATTCGCCCAAAACACAGCACCGAAGAAGACTAGTGTGTGCGAGGCCCGATGGTGTATTGCTGTGACTGGTATTAAGAGCTAACGAAAGCATAGACTTTCAAAGGACTGTTTCTCAATGTCTTTATGTCCAATTTCAAGGCTGGACCTTCACGTTCGAGAGCGCCCCTGTAGTGTAGTGGGTATAGTGTCTGCTCTAGGAGCGGAAGGGCGAGGGTTCGATTCCTGGAGTTTTATTATTATCAGTGTTCTTTCCGTGTCTGCTGCCTCAAAGAATTAAAACATGGACTGGTCAGTTTGAAGTCAGTGTAATGTGTCCGAATGGGTTATCCATGCTAAACTGTGACATAGTACCTGTTGGGAGCACTATAAAACCATAAATAATCTTAACTACTACAAGCAAACACACGCACTTGGTACGTCGCGACACAAGTTCAATAATCAGGAACGTTAAACAAACAGTAACCCTTACCTCTTGACACTGTAAGTGTCAAGATTTGTGACGTGCATGTCATTTACGTGCAACTATAACTAAATCTTTGGCCCAGGATAATTTGTCATTTAACGTTTACTTACACCATGTGAAATGTAACGTATGATATATTTTGAATTACGCTTTCTCAGTAAAGTACAGATTATAGTACATCCGTTGGGTTGAGTCCCATCCTACAATTTGTCACAATTACATAATTACACAATCATAGGGAAGAAATTAAAGCAGCTTAAATCAAACGTTCGGGTGTACCAATTTATCAGAGCCTTGTTCTTTGATGGCAAGAAACCTAGCATATGCTGCACTCTTGTACACATAGTCCACGAAAGATAAACTCCTATTAACTAGTTGTGCCAACTATCACATATTAAGGTGGGTACATCGAGAACACATACAACTACCTCACGTAGCTTTAACATTATCAGCTTAGATTATCAGTGGTACAGATCAGAATCTACAGCACCTGGACTGGATGCCTGTTGGACAGACATAAGGCGTGAGACAGTTTCATATATAGAGGATATTATATGAGTACACATGTCATACTATGTTTACGACACGAGTGCCTAAATGTTGGTATTTCCCGAGCGAGAGCGAGGGATATACCGATATTTGGGCACGAGTGTTGTAAAAAGCCAGAAGGATGAATTTCCCTTCATGTCCAACAACATTCAAGCAGCTACAGTTTGTGAGTGAGTTAGGTTTACCGCCGCTTTTAGCAACATTCCAGCAATATCACTGCGATGGACACCAGAAATGGGCTTCACACATTCTACCCATATGGAGAATCGAATGCGGGTCTTCGGCGTCACAAGAGACGCTTTAACCACTAGACTAAACCACCGCCCCACCGCCTACAGCCTTTGCCTTCTACAATCGAGCATATTGTACCAGGACTACAGAGAGCGCAATTCCACTCTTGTCCCAAAGTTATTTACGGAGAGTTACAACAATCAAGATCTAACCAAAGCTTCAAATAGGTTTATGGAAGACATGTGGAGAACATTGGTCGCATCAGTGAGAACATATAGGACCGATGCAATTCCTTAAGTTGACTTGTGCCTTGTGGTCCCTTTTTCAGACTGATAATTTACTTACCTGTTCATATGTTTGTGATGGTTGCCCACCGGTTTGACAAACATCAGGTTTCATCAGTATTTAATTGCAAATCATGAACACTTGCTATAGTTGCAACCGTCCAATGTCCTTTGAGTATAGATTTCTTATGATCATAGAAATGCATTTTGCCTCTTTTAATGCCAGGTAACATTACAAACGACTCAGCAGATAATCTGTAACGAAACACAAACTCATTCCACGTCACATGAAATTATTATACATGTACTCTCTTCTTGTAAAAAGCTTGACATTTGGACATTGGATATACTGCAAATCCACACAAAAAGGAACTAGGATCATCACATTGCTATAACATACGCCTTAGCATCGCTGTCATAATCACACTCATGCAAAGCGAATAAACAGAGAAAGTCAATTACAGGCCTGACACATGAACAAAAACACTGGAGTTGTTCTGTTGAGGAAATGTTAATTAGGGAATGTCGTTTGATGTAAACAAGAGCAGGAAGTAGCATGGTAAAGCAGGAAAACACCGCCATCGTTAAAAATTCCTTACTCAAATCAATTACAGTAAGTGCAAAGAACCCTCATTATGTTACGGAACTATGTTTGTCATGATAATATTTTACAAGTGGCACAAGTGGTGACGGAAATCACCGAGAAGCCAATTAGTATCACATCATAACATTCGCAGCCACGTATATAATAGTTTAATGTAGCTACACGTTCTTTATATTTGGAGCAAGTCTTTTGACTGAGGCCATACAATATGATTTGGATACTCGTTGTTTCCCACCTCTTGTTTGGTTTTTCAACCAATGCGAACATAGTTAAGAAACATTGTCAACTGATAGAAGAGTACAAGGAATTCCAGACTACCATGGATACATACCTGGCATCGAGCAGCGACGTCTGCCAAGGCGGATCTGTCAACTACACTGGTGAGTGTTACATTGCGCCATACCTTGTTAAGATTTAGACCTCTTATAGCTTTTGGTCCCATAAATGGCCTAATGAACAAAGCGTCTGCACGGAGATCGCACAGTGGGTGGTTTGATCCCCATAGCTGTGTCATGCTTAAATATCGTACGTGTTCCTTCCCTGTCTCATCTCACCATGACACCTTAAAATGTTTAAACGACTAGTGGATAACTAACTGGTTAAAACATTAGTCATGACACATATCCTAAGCCCCTATTCCTCGAAACGTTCGTAGTCCTAAGAATTGTTAACTTTGATCGTAGTCAATGTGTTAAGAATGGGTTTAAGAAGTTCCTAGGGCTACGAACGTTTCGCGAATAGCTTGCCAGGTCGATTGCAAACATGGGAACCAGGCATAAAGCCACTTTCCAGTGTCTCTTCCCATGGCAGGGATTATTTCTGAAAGCGGTCGAAAACCGTATTCGTTCGCTCCTCACTGAAAATCTGAGTGTATTTTCACTATGTGTTAATGTGTCTTTCCATGAACACCATCAGGTCCCCAGTGTCACGACTTTCGACAACACTACATTTTGATCAACTGATCAACATGTTGCCATGTTTAAATGATGTTCTTTGCATTATACCAAAAGCCGAACACGTGACATTTTGTTGCCCTATCTAAACTTCGAGATAAAAGGCGTTAAAATGTCAGACAACGCTACGTGTTTATTGTCCTTAGTACTCCAATGGACTTGTTGAACTTCTTTCCAGTGGTGAATAATCCACCAGGTTTTTTTTCAGCTTGACATTGTATTTTTATTATATTTCATTCAAATCTGGTCCCCAACAGCTTTTCAATTTGGTGATGGGGCACATTTGGTCGAGTCCTCATACTGCCTTGAGTTACCTTCCATTATTACCTATTATTGTGTGTTCGAATCCAAGATCCGTCCTTATTAAGCATTTTAACCTGAATCCACTTGATATTTTAAGTCTAAGACCTTGGATTTTCCGCCACATCAAGCTGATACACCATGATATTACTGCTTTACTGATCTCAGTGTTAGCAATTATTTGCAAGAGGGTACATGTGTGGGTCATCAATCTAATATTGCTTTGTAAAAATAGGTCCTACTTGGTATATCTACACTTACTGTTTTGTAAACATTCCCTCACTCACACATTCATTCATTCAACAGCTTCATGCTCACTGCAGCTACAACATTTTGGGTCCGGAGGCTGAATCTCAACAGGATGTAGATTTAACGTCCATGTCTGGTCATTGAATACCTGGTTCCAAAAGTACATATGTGAAAGTATCGCCAATCTGAAATGACTTATAAAAAGGCATTACCAGGTTTAACTTATATATAAATATCTATTTTAGATTGTACAAGTATTTTGAAGGAGTATCCTAATGCTGGGGATGGCGTGTACAGGATACAACCCTCAGACGAACAAGGCTCCTTCAAAGCGTATTGTGACATGACCCACCATGGGGGCGGCTGGCTGGCAAGTATATACATTATATAACCTTCTCATCTGACAAGTGCTGAAATAAAGGTGGTTCCAAAAATGGTTTATTTGCCGGCAATGTAAACAAATAGAAAAACATACATTTGGGGGAATTAGAAAGAAAGCACTGACTGAAGGCAATCATTCGCGCGGTTCAGTGGTACCATAACATCAGTCTCATATTTTGGGGTATGAATGAGAAAGTGATGACCAAAAGGAACCATTAAATATTTTGTGGTACGATAACATCAGTCTCATTCTTCCCACACTGTCTTAAACGAAGCTTGACTGATTTATTTCCTAAACAGAGCAAAGGTTATTCGGGATTTATCCTAAAAGGCCAAGTATGTATCATGACCACCTGAATATGTGAGATAAATCATAGATCAGTCGTTGAGTCGCGTCAAACGATTTGTATTTATACCATAACATGTCAAGAGATTGGGTCGTAACCTTGTGTAGAAATACATAGTTTGATTGTTTTGTAATCTTGTAACGTGGGTGTACATTGTTGCACATCTGTATATTTCGTGTTGAAGGTGATTCAGCGGAGAATGGATGGGTTGGTGGATTTCTACAGGACTTGGTTTGAATACATGGACGGCTTTGGCAATCTCACCGGGGAGTTCTGGCTGGGTAAGGATGTGTACAAAGACACAAGTTTAAAAGACTTTCTACATTACTTTTCACTTATCTCATGGACAGAAACAAATCTACCACAAGTACAATGGTTCAGACTTTATGGATGTTTTACGGAAATCCAAACAGCTGAAAGAAGAAAATAAAATACAAATTACTCATACATTTGTCCCACAATTATCTCGAACTTATATTTTAGACAACATATCATATGATAAGCCTAAAGGCACTATGTCACACATTTTCGATAATATTTTGGCATATAGTATACACACTGGGGCATTTGCGCGTTTACTTTAGCTTCCTATTGATGCAATAAAAGACGTATTACCCTTGCCACTTGCCTGAAATCGATAATTGAAACTTCGAGGCAACAGAGAACATTCGCCATATATGGAATGTAAACAACTGCCCCGTACATCAAAAACTGTCGCACGTAGTGTTGTCAGTGTTTGCCGAACTGGTTTCTGTGTCCAAAGTAGTTGTAGGATATTCGTAAAGAGAGCTCCAAATGGACATAACTCTATGGGTTCCACTTGAAATAATGTTCGGCCGGCAGAGGGCGCGAGGGTCGAATTAATGCAACGTTGCATTAATTCATTCGAAGGTTTTAATTTAATACTGTAATCTAAATACGTAATTTGGGGGGAAATCTAAATATGGTATCTTCCCTGAGGGCGCGATAGTTTATATTTTTGACAGAAATGCATTATTTATCTTCAGAGAAGTGATATAGTGCCTTTAACAACCAGCCCATTATTTACAGTGTGACTGACATCTGTTGACATCAGTCAAAACATATTCAAAGGAGGATTTCAAAAAGACAATATTATTTGTTTTCTTTGTATTCATTGCAATTCTTGCATTCTGATCAGCTGAACTGGTCACGTACAAATGAATGTACAAAATCATGGCACAGCAGTCTACTTTCACTACAATCGAATGTCAGAGAAAGTACTTACCACCATTTCAGGTAACGAGAAGATACACCGTCTAACAAAACAGACAACGTACGAACTACGAGTGGACCTCACGTTTACAGACGGGGAGACTGGGTTTGCCCACTACAACAACTTCCGACTAGGCGACATGTCGACCTTCTACACTCTTGCCGTCAGTGGGTTCACGGGCAATTCAGGTAAATGTTGCCAATAGTATTTGACTGGTTGTTTTCGTTTGTATTTAGAATATTTGACGTTTATATTCCATAGACGCCGCTGTAGTGCTCCAGTGGTGGGAACTGAGGTATAGTTCACTTTCATCAATGGATTAAAACACAAAACTTTAAAATGTCGACCTTCTACACTCTTGATGTCAGTGGGTTCACGGGCAATTCAGGTAAATGTTGCCAATAGAAAATGTCTCGGCGGATAATCGAGACTTGTTGTATTCGTTTGTGTTAAAATATTTGACGTTTATATTCTATGGACGCCACTTTCATGGTTCTGTGATGTTTTCAGGCAAATGAACAGTTTCCCTACAACATTAAATGACAGGGTTATGTGTATAAGTAAACAGTTACTTTAACAAATACCCAGCATTAGATAAGGCGTATTGAAACTGGACTACAGTAGTATCGTATATTCACAATGTACAATAACTTTAGTGTTTTAAACCACCATGTACTCAAGTGTAGCAGAAGATTAACTTCAGTAAAAAGATAAAGCAGTTCCATTATACATATTAAGTACATATTTCTTTCCGGCTCATCAGTAAAACAATCTTTTTTTTCTGTATACTATGAACGTCTAATATGAAGCATGCTTTTTCAGGGGACAATATGAAGTACCATAATTCCAGGCGTTTCACTGCTAAAAACCTGGACCTGGACCTGCACTCGACTGTCAACTGTGCTGTGAGCTATCACGGAGCTTGGTGGTACAATGCTTGTCACCACTCCAACCTCAATGGTCTTTACAACGACACATCAGCTAGAGGAATGAAATGGGGATCTGTCCATGTTTGCACACATACGAGTATGAAAATTCGCCCACAACACAGCAACGAGGAAGACTAATATGTGCGAGGCCCGATGGTGTATTAAGACTTTGAAAGGAGTGTGTACTTAATGGCTTTATGTCCAATTTCAAGGCTGGAACTTTACGTTCGAGTGCGCCTCTGCAGTGTAGTTGGTATAGTGTCCGCTCTAGAAGCAGAAGGTCGATGGTTCGATTGCTGTGCCTCCATTCACTAATGTTTCAGTGTTCTTTACTTTTCTGCCGCTTCTTATCAAAGAGTTAAAACATGGACTGGTCAGTTTGAAGTCATTGTAATATATCTGATATGGTATCCATGCTGAACTGTGACATGGTAACTATTGAGAAGCACTATAAAACCATAATAAATCGTGACTGCTACAAGTACACACACACACACACGCGCGCGCGCTTGGAACTTGGCGACACAACTTAAATAATCTTTAACGCTAAAACCAAGTAACCCTTACCTCTTGACACCGTAAGTGTCAAGATATGTGACATTTGTCAACATTAAATTCATCATAATTTCAAGCAAGAAAATAAACAGCTTGAATCAAAATTTCTAGTGTTCCAATGTATCTGAGCCTTGCTCCATTGTAAGACACCTGCAATATGCTGCACTCTTGTACAAATAGTCCATGGATAAACTAGATCAGTGATTGTTGGTTTTGAGCGGCTATTTTCGTTGCAGTTGTCCAGGACAGTTTTTCATTTGACGTTTACTTTGGAAGCAATATGTGAAATGTTGGCCTTCCTTATGTAAAGCATCAGATAGGTATCCCGTCAGCAATGGGGGCAGAGTTAAGACACAGGTACATACAGACTCATGAATACTGGAACCTTGCAAAACGCGTCAAACAAGAAAGTCCTCAACCTAGCCGAAACTTTTACACGTGTCAAGCTCTGTGGTGGAACTTGAACTGTAAACCAACTGAGCGAGGTCAATCTAATTTACCAGCACTTTAATTAGCTGCTATTCACAATCAAAACAAATAATATATAATAATCTTCTGTCACCGGCAATATGATTCATAATGTCTGCCTTGATTGGCAAGAATAGTGAAGGGAATAAGTCCAAGAAGATTAACTTCATAAAATGGTTGTATCTGACTGGTTTGGGTTTCTTCAATAACGATGGAATAGCAAAGACAGTTCTATTGATTTTACTTACCAAGCTGAACCATAAACAAAAGAAACCAGTTAAACCCCATCATCACTAATGTCTTTCATTTGTCGATATAAGAAACCTTCAGAGTGACAAAAACGCTACTTGAGACATAAGGGTAACCTAACTTTCCAGAGTCAACTTTCCCTTCATGCCCAACAACATTCCAGCAGCTACAGTTTGTCAGTGATTTTTGTCTTACACCGCTTTTAGAAACATTCCAGCAATATCACGGCGAGGGATACCAAGAATTAACTTCACACGTTGTACCCATATGGGGAATCCAACCAGTGTCTTCGGCGTGACGAGCGAACGCTTTAACCACTAGGCTACCCCACCACCCCAACGCCAACAGCCTTTGCCTTCCACAATTCCACTCTTGTTCAAACGTTATCTACCGAGTCTTACAACATTCAAGATCTAACATAAGCTTCCACAAGTTTTATGGCAGAGAAAATAGGTCGCATCCGTGAGAACATTTAGGTCCGATGCAATTCCTTAAGTTGCCTTGTCGTCCCTTTCTCAGATTACTAATTAACTTACCTTTTCATACGTTGTGATTGGTGCCACCAGCTTGACACCCGGTATCATCAGTATTTAATTCCGAATCATAAATAAATGCTTATGATATAATCGAAACCATCCAATGCAGTAGGGATTTCTTATGATCATAGATATGCTGTTTGTCTCTTTTATTCACAGGTAGTATTTCAGACGACTCTGCACATAATCTGTAATGCAATACAAACGTTTATGTAGCATGTAGTCATTCCACGCCACATAATATAGATTTACTCTCATCTTTTAACAAGGCTTGACATTTTGACATTGGATTAACTGCAAAGCCACACAAACATTTTTATACAGACATTGTAAATCATCACTTTTCAAACATTCACAGAAATACATTCTATATCATTTGTTAAGTACTGAAAGGAATTTGGATCATCACATGGCTGTAAAATGCGCCTTACCATAGCTCTCATAATCACATTCATGCATCCAATTAAATGAGAAAGTCAATTACAGGCCTGACACATGAACAAAAACACTGGTGTAGTTCTGTTGAGGAAATGGAAATTAGAGCATGTCGTTTAATTTAAACAAAAGCAGGAAGTAGCATGTTACTTCAGGAAAACACTGCTATCGTTAAAAAAAACTCCTCAGTCACATTAATTACCATAACTGCAAAGGACCCTCATTTATGAAACGGTACTATGATTGCAATGACAATATTTCAAAACTGGCACAAGTGGTGACGGAAAATTATCGAGGATCCAATTAGTATCACTTTATAACATTGGCAGCCACTATATCCGGGGATATAATAGTTTAATGGAGCTACACGCTATTCACATTTGAAGTGCGTCTTTTCACTGAGACCATAAAATATGATTTGGATACTCGTTGTTTCCCAGCTCTTATTTGGTTTTTCAACAAATGCCAATATTGTAAAGAAACATTGTCAACTGATAGAAGAGTACAAGGAATTCCAGACTACAATGGATACATACTTGGCATCGAGCAATGACGTCTGTCAAGGCGAATCGGTCAACTACACTGGTGAGTGTTACATTGCGTCGTACCTGCTTTAGAATACAGCCTTCCTTAGTCATGCCTCTTTTTAGCCTTTCTTCCCATGGCTTTGATTGACTATTTCTGAAAGCGACCGAAAACCACACTCGTTCGCTCCGCATTCAAAATCTTCGAAAATAGGTCCTCACTGTTTTATCTACAGCTACTGCGTTGTATTTTAAGTGTGTGTTAATATATCTTTCCATGAACACCATCGGGTCCCCAGTGTCACGCCTGGGGTGAATCTGCCACATATTGATATAACTACCACGTTCTACATGAATCCATTGCCATGTTATCATCCTTACAAAACCAAGGAAACATGGACAATTTTAACATCGACTTGACAACTCCACATTTTGAACAAGTGTTGCATGTTGCCCTCTTTGAATTATTTTCTTTGCATTATTTATCAAAAGCCAAATACGTGACAGTTTGTTGCCCTGTCTAAAGAACGAGGGAAAAAGAGTTAAAATGCCAGACAATGCTGTATAGTTGTTGTCCTTTGTACTCCAATCGACAAGTTGAATTGCATTCTTAACAAGAATAACCCAGAGCGATATTGTTTCAGCTTGAAATCGTATTTCTATTATATTTCATTCAAATCTGGTCCCCAACACTTTTTTCAATTCGCCGATGGGGCACATTTGGTCGAGTCGTCATGCCTACCTTGAGTTGCGACCATACAACCTAATATCATGGGTTCGAATCCAAGATCCGTCCTTATTAAGCACTTTAACCAGAATCCACTTGATACCTTCTGGATTTCCCACCACATCAAATTAATACGCCATGATATTACTGCTTTACTGATGCAAGGTTTAGCAATTATTTGCAAGAGGGTATTTGCAAGAGGGTATTTGTGTGGGTCATCAATCTAAAATAATTTATTGCTTTGTAAAATAGGTCCTAACTGGTTTATCTACACCTACTGCTTTGTAAACATTCCCTCACTCACACATTCATTCAACAGCTTCATTATCATTACAGCTGCAACAGATGAGGTCCCGGGCTGAATCCCAGCAGGATGTAGATTTGACGTGTGATCATGGAATACCTGGGTCCAAAAGTACATACGTGAAAGCATCGGAATTGCTTCGCCTTCTGAAAAAGGCATCACAAGGTTTAACTTTCATAAAATTAATATAAATATCTATTTTAAGATTGTGCAAGTATTTTGAAGGAGTATCCTAATGCTGAGGATGGCGTGTACAGGATACAACCCTCAGACGAACAAGGCTCTTTCAAAGCGTACTGTGACATGACATGGGGGCGGCTGGCTGGTAAGTATAAACGTTATATAACCGTCTCGTCGGACCTGTGCTGAAGTAAGCTTGGTTCCAAACGTGGTTTATTGTAGGCAATGTAAACGAATAATCATAGACCCAGGAAAACATACATTTGGGGGAATTAGGAAGAGAGCACTGTCCAAAAGCAACCATCCCAATTTCAATGGTACCATAACACCAGTCCCATTCTTCCTACTGTCCAGATAAAAACACATTTGCGAAGTGAGTGATAAAGTGCATTGTACTTACCAAAAGCAACCATCCAAGATACTGTGGTACAGTAACAATAGTCTCATTTTTCCCACTGTCACAATCAATTTACAGTCTTAAAGGCAGCTACGTATTTCCTAATTCCTAAACACAACAATGGTTATACAAGACAAATCTTATGGATAACAACTTCTTGATTTATTTTGCACAACGTTTCTGGGCTGGTTCTTGCCCCTTCGTCAGGTGGATGACACTTGTCATCCATAAGATTTGTATTGTATTACTATACCAACTTCTAAATGTCTTTGAAGAATTTCATTAGAACAAGGTTATTCGGGATTTATCCAAAAATACCTAGTATGTATCAAGACCACATGTACAGAGGCATGTTTTATGTGATCAATCATACTCGTGTTTTGGAACTTTTCTGCTTTTAGTGTACTCTATCTGCAGAAGCACAGAAAGGTCGGGGATTGTGAAGAGTATTAATTTATAATAATAACCCCTTACATTTGGAGGTCCTTTCTCATAAATTTCTGCTTTTGTATGATCCCAGAGTATGTAAGGTACAATCTTTGCACAACAGCCACACATGATCATGATCTACTTGATCTTCTGGGCATACATGATTCTAAGCTCCATTTGATGATGAATTCTGAAATACTGGAGATGTTTACATGGAGCATGTTATATTGAAGGTGATACAACGGAGAGTAGATGGCCTTGTGGATTTCTATAGAACTTGGTTTGAGTACATGGATGGCTTTGGCAATCTCACCGGGGAGTTCTGGTTGGGTAAGGATGTGTACAAAGACACAAGTTTAAGAGACTTTCTACTTTACTTTGCACCTTTCTCAGGGTTCAGATTATATGGATTTTGTTCAGAAATTACTCATACCTTTGTGCCACAATTGTCGAATATCACCAACGTATATTTTAGGAAACATATCACACGATAAGCTTAACAACCAGTCCATTTTCTTTATAGCGTGATTGAAATCTTTGGACATCAGTCAAAAAATTATTCAATGTATTTTAACTTTGAAAAGACAATAACACGTTTTTCTTTGTATTCATTGCAATTCTTGCATTCTGATTAGCTGAACTGGTCACATACAGTGAATTGACAAAACCATGGCACATAGGTCTACTTCTACATAAACTACTTCCGAATGTCAGGGAGTCCGAAATTACAGTTGACAGACAGACAGATTGATTCAATAAAGAGGCCTTGGGCCCATGATACATACTTTCTTGGTGATACCATATAACACCTGGGTGAGAATATAGCTGCTGAGCAGGCACGGGTATGAAAATTTGAAATAAATATTATATGGACAACAAAATGCATTTATAAATTATTGGTTTGAAATGATGAGCTTTACTGTGTACCAGTGATAACTGAAGGGCTGTGCTTTGGGTTAATAGTGTTGGGTCACAGTTTCCATACTTTATATAAATACAGACATTTACTATGCAGGATAGAGACATTACTGTGTACCAGTAATAACTGCAAGGCTAAGTGTTTATGGATTAATAGTGTTGGCTCTCAGTTTCCATACTTTATATAAACACATACGTACACTATGCAGGATAGAGACATTACAGTGTACCAGTAATAACTGCAAGACTAAGTGCTTATGGATTAAATTACAGTTGAGGGAATTCCCTATCGCCTTACCTGTATCATCATGCATAATACATTTTTGCGATATTCATGCATATTCTAGGTCGTTCCTTCCAGTTATTTTTAACATCGGGAAACTCATTTGTATACTCTTCAAAAACGGAACTTAACATGCTGTTTTGGAGTTTACTTACTGAGTGCATATAACTGATTTAAACATGACATCATTGCTCAGTTACAGTCAAATCATCACTTCACAAATTTCCAAAACATGATTATCGAGAAAGTGTGTGGTCAAACCACAGAGGGCTATTAAAGCCACTTGATCAGAGTAAAATGTTAGTATCTGGTGTGACCACCATGAGCATCGATAACAGCTTGGCAGCGGTGACCCATAGAAGAAAGGAGATACCGAATGCTGTCTTGAGGAATGTTTTGATACACTTGCTGAAGTGCAGTGTGCAGTTCTTGTACATTGTCTGAGGTGGCGGATTACGCTGGTGCAAGCGTCGATCAAGAGTATCCCATAGATGTTCAACGGGGGACAAATCCGATGATCGAGAAGACCAAGGTGACAACTGAACATTGTTTTGCTGGAGGAAGACCTGTCAAACACGCGCAACGTGAGGTCGAGCATTGTCATGCTCCAAAGAACACGTTGAGGTAGGGAACGACGTGACGTTGAACTGGTCTTCTGGCAAATAGTCTGGCTTCCATAGCCAATTGCTCACTGTCTGGTCGGAGATTCGGAGCAGTCCAGGGGTTTGAATTGTTGTGGATGATGCGGGTGTGGTGTTTGAACGAAAATGTCTCAACCGGATGTAGCGATCCTGGGCGGCGGTGGTAACTCCAGGTCCACCTGACCTGGGTCTGTCATTAACACCCCCAGTATTTTTGTATCGGGTCCATAGGTTTGAGATGGTCTGTCTAGACACACTGACACGCTGTGCCTTGCCACATCATGCTGCGATGTCGGTCCTTGTAAACGGCCGATGGCGTTGTGTCGTTGAGCTTCTGTTAGTCTTGGCAATCTCTTGTCGTAAATAGTGTCTTAAAGCAATGCATTTGAAGTACCATTGATGTGGCTTTTAATAGACTACAGTCAAAGGCTTCAGCTCAAGGTGTTACACAATTTCATGATGCTCGTGCATTTCATGTAGGGTGCGTTTTAGCGATTCACTACAGACGTGAGTGTAACGCTACGTTTTTGTTAAACGTTTCTTTTTTCAAAGATTTTGTCGTCGGCAACCATTTCCCCACATGCTGGGATTCAGCATGGACTGGTTTGTGTCAAAATATTTTCCTAAAATTCATATTTGTCCTATTTCAAGTTTCTTTTTTCTTAAGAGTGTATAAGGCGCTGTTGTCACAATACTATAGTTTATAATGTTCACGATGTCAAAAGTTATTCAAGGGTTGGGGCACTGTTACAATTCACTCGCTCTCTCACCAACTCACTCACTCTTTCACTAACTTACTTACTCTTTTCTTTCTTTCACTCACTCACTCTTTCACTCACGCATTTCCCATGGTGAGGGACGGCAATGTGTCTACAGACCTCTGGGGAGCGTTATGCTAAAGTCTTAGTCATGGAAAGGGATAGCTTTGTGGAGTGTTTTCGGTGATGATCTGGAGTGGAATAAGTGCAGGTCGGGGAACCCATTTAGTTCTTGTTCAGGGCAAGTTGACACGTGTGGGCTACAGAGATCAGATTCTCATACCAGTGGCAATTCCGTTTCTTAAACGTCATGGACCAGAATTTACATTCCAACAGAATAACACGTCTTAACACGACTAGAGTTGATACGGCGTATTTTGACCCGTTAAGTCAAAACCAAGGACATTAAACATGATCTTTAGTCGTCTCCTTATGATCTCAATATCCACCTATCAAATTGTTCTATTTTTAAATTTAAAAAACAAGAATGCACGTTTTCTTTTTGTGGGTAGTATTCTTTAACATGGAAATAATACTTGGACACATGTTCATATCTATTATCCTATGTGCATTAATTTACTGAATTCATTGTTTTGTACATGTACTCGAGAAAGTACAATATTTCGTTTCAGGTAGAAGATAAACACACGTTAATGAATTTATTTACGTTACTGTTTCCACTTTACAGTGAAAAGTACTTAACACCATTTCAGGTAACGAGAAGATACACCGTCTCACCAAACAAACAACGTACGAACTACGAGTGGACCTCACGTTCACAGACGGGGAGACTGGGTTTGCCCACTACAACAACTTCCGACTAGGCGACATGTCGAGCTTCTACACTCTTGATGTCAGTGGGTTCACAGGCAGAGCAGGTACATGCTACCAGTAGTATTTGTCTCTGCGGATAAACGAGACTGATCGGTTTTGTTTGTATTCAGAATAGTTGACGTGTATATTCTAAGGACGCCGCTTACCTGCTTTTGTGATGTTTACAGATATATCTCACTGTCAATAATGAGTTAACTTGTTTTGGAAAAGAAACAACTTTGAAACATTTGAAATTGTGTTTAGTCCACCTATAAAGTAAATTATGCATTGACATAATCTAGTACTAGGATTTTCATAAGTGAACATTCACCGGCAACCACAGATGACCGGGTTATGTGTATGAGTGGACAGTCTCCCTACAACTTTACTACAAGTTAATAGTCACTGTATATGTCGTAATATTGTATATACTGATGCAATAACTCCTTACATTCATAAATGACAGGACAAATATCCAGCATGGGATGAGGCGTATGAGTCCCGATTCACAAAGAGTTCGTAAGGTTACGACCTGTCGTAATTGTATAGGTACTCATAGGTTTACGAATGTCGTAAAGCTACTAACGCTTTGTGGTTCGGGACCCTGAAGTTTGGCATCAGTTGTATCATATTTTACAATATATTAATATTTTAGTGTTTTCAACCAAGGTATACTCAAGTGTAACAGATGAATAACTTCAACCATAATATAAAACAGTTCCATTAAACATGTTTAGTCTATATTCTGTTCGACTCGTCAGAAAAAAAATGTTTACATGTTTGATAATCGCAATTAAGATAATTGAATTTTCGATGGTTATTTCTATGATTTTCTGATATAAAACATATTGGTTTTTTAGGGGACAATTTGATCCAACATAATTCCATGCGTTTCACTGCTAAAAACCTGGACTTGGACCGGGAGGAGAATGGAAACTGTGCTGTGAGATCTAACGGAGCATGGTGGTACAATGATTGCTACTCCTCCAACCTCAATGGTCTGTACAACGAGACTACAGGTAGAGGAATGTACTGGGGATCTGTCCTTGTCTCTACACGTACAAGTATGAAAATTCGCCCACAACATAGCAACGAGGAAGACTAAATAAGTGCGAAGCCCGATGGTGTATTGTTATTAAGAGCTAATGTAACAGAGACTTTGAAAGGAGTGTGTACTTAATGGCTTTATGCCCAATTTCAAGGCTCGAACTTTACGTTCGACAACTTTACACCTCTGTCCGGAAGTGGGTATAGTGTCTGCTCTAGAAGCGGAAGGTCGATGGTTCGATGTCTGGACGTTTTTAGATTATCAGTGTTCTTTCCGTGTCTGTCGCCACTTATCAAAGGTTTAAAGTTTGCCAGTTTGAAAACAATGTTATATGTCTAAATGTGGTATCCATGCTAAACTTTGACGTTGTATCTGTTGGGAAACACTAGCAAATGATAAATGGCATAATTAATCTTGACTGCCACAAGCCAACACATACATACTTGGTACTTGGCGACACAACTTCAATAATCTTGAACGTTAAAACCAGTCTGGTAACCCTTACCTCTTGACGTCCATACCCTTTTACACTATTACATTCATATACCATCATTAATGTATCGAAGAAGACAAAACAGCTCAATCAAACTCTCCGTTGTACCAATTTATCTGAGCCTAGTTCTTTGATTGCAAGAAACCTAGCATATGCTGCACTCTTGTACAAATAGTCCACGAAGGTACTAGATCACAGATTGTCGGTTTCTCAGCTATGAAACTATCAACTTAAATCATATAAACTGAATAAACACCTATTAACTAAAGTTTTATGTTTTGTTCCAACTGTCACATATTAACATGTGTAATGCCACGTTGACACTTGCACGAATTTTGTCCCCGCGTGTCAATGCGTGTCAGCCCGATTTTGACCCTCAACTAAACGATCTTGATACAAATGGATGACGGTATGTCCGGCCAAAATGGGTGTGTGGTCGAAGCAAGCCCTCTGATGGAGTGGTCCTTCTGTCTATTACGTAACAACCAAATTCAGGGGCCACTACGGGACAACTCGTTAAGAAGGTGTGAACGTGGGGGCCAGTGTGGGACAACTTGTTAGTTGTCAAAACAAAGAGTTAATCTGCTACTGTGGGTAGAAGGTGATAACTTCAGAGTACAAAGTAGGGTCTGGTTACCATTAATTTAACATGAATGGTTTGTGTAATATATTTATCTTAATCTACATTTCAGAGGGTAATGTTGTTAACTGCTTTGTCCTGATTTCGTCAGATTGTTGAGGAGGAAGTTTGTGTAATAATCTATCTCATCAATTTTGTGTGTGCCTGTTTATCCTTTTCTCATAGACGATTTTGTTATAAGCTAGACTTCTTAGGGGTAAATGACTTCCAAGCTGATTCCATTTCTATCTTTTTACCCATGATATTTGAAGGGAAAGATTGTTCCTGGTATGATAAAATGGACTTTGATTTATTTGAATATAAACTGATGCCATTGCTAGAAGAATGGACATTTTACTTAGGTAAATTACATATTTTAGCACAGCTTGTGGTCATTGCACAACTGAACAAAACAGTGTCGGCCCATAAGTTTTCACATGCAATTAAAATTGCACTTGAATTAATGTGAACTTTAGTGATATGACCTACACGTGTTATTTGTCATTGACTTGTTGCTCCCCTCTCAAAGTGAGGCATGTAGTGATATGTAAAATTAATATTATGGATGATCAACGCATTTTCCGATAATACGCTTATTGATTAATTGCTTTTATCTTACACAACGTTTCTGGGCTATTATTGTGATATACAATTAAGAAGAAGTTGTCATCCATAATATTTGCGTTTTACTTGAACACCAACTTCTAAATGCCTCTCAAGAACCTAGTGATATGTATATGCAAAGCCAAGAATAATATAAATGAATCGTAAAACACTTTTTGGTTTGTTGTTTCTTTTTAATCAGAGCTCTTTCAAAGCATCACACCTCCCTAATTAGTCCAGCACAGTTGTTAATTAAGCTGATTGGATTAAGAGAGGCCAGTGTGGGAACACTTAAGTGTTCAGGGGCCTCTCTGGGAAGGTTCGTTAACAAGGCGTGAAAACTCTGGGGCCACTGTGGCAAGGGCCACTCCGGGCATAAATAGGTTGCAGGACAGCCTGCCTTGCAACATCTCCAATGTACACTTGTATTGCGTCTCTTCTGTATTCTGAATTAAAACCTTGATAGACAAGGTTACGACCTCCTTGCGTATTAGGAATGAACTCTAGATTTACCTGTACGTTAGCCAAGGTCATGAATGATGTTGACATTTTCCTGTGTAATATATACCTATTAACAAGATGAGTTTATGCAGTGAGAACACGGATAATTGGTGAGTTCATACCAGTCTGACAATCTATCAGTTTGGAATCTCTCCCAAGGCCATGAGTTTAGTTCATGAGACGATCCCTTTCCTTATAACAACATCACTAATCCTAATCCTCTACAGGCTGCCTGCACAGTGGATAAACCTCCTCCACACACCTAACTTTCTATACAGGGAACGTGACGGTTATATCCCAAAACTTCCATATCCCAAAACTTCCATATCCCAAAACTACCACACATTGTTAAAACAACAACTCCTCATCATCCCTTTTTAGGTAATAGGATAGCCCAGGAAGTGCACTGGACTGAAACAACAGATAATGATACATCACCTGGGTTCTATGCCGAATCTTCCATATCCCAAAACTACCACATCCCAATACTACCACACATTGTTAAAACAACAACTCCTCATCTCCCCATTTTAGGTAATAGGATAGCCCAGGATGTGCACTGAACTGAAACAACAGATAATGATTCTGATCACCTGACTGGTTTTCTTGTAATGTACATTATAGGTGTAATTGAATAGTCCAGGAACTTTGGAGGAAGTGCACTTTCTTTGTTGCCCTAAACAGGGAACAGAAGAGTAGTAGAGACTTAGCAGAGTAGAGATTTCGTAGAGAAAGGAGCAGTTAGTTAATAAATTTGAAACATATATATATATATAGATGTTGAAAGTGCTTCATTTCATCATCATGGCAGGTTTAGTGAAAGTGGAGTTTGTATTGTCTCAGAAAGGAACGCAACAGATCCATGTGAATGGCTATTTGTACAACAGGCATGTTGTAAGACAGTCGTGCACACATTGGAAATGTTCAAGTACAAAGTGTAAGGCGAGATGTACCACTGTAGGCGAGATTTTGAGGAATTCTACCGAACACTCCCATCCACCAGAAGATTCCAACAAGGTCAGATTCATAAGCAACATGAGGAAGAGGGCCCGAGAAGAGATTACATAGAAGAACTTGTGTCTCACTTGCCGAGACGCAGAGAATAGATTATTTCGCCTGCGAAAACAACTGAGACATGGACAAAAGACACCACTCCAATTTCTCGATGCTGTTGGACATTATTTAGGGTTTTGACTCTGAAAAGTTCTTGTGAAATCTTGGATATTATAGGACAGAAGTTCTTTATAAATATGTAGTTCTATATATATATAAATGTCCTACATAGACTGTTATTTTAATGTATTTTTATTAATACCCATGCCTTAATAAAATATACAATCTATTACTAAGTGATTGTTTGTATTCATTACTGATTAATGGGCTAAACCATTACAGACTGAGGTAATCAGTATGCAAAGCGTGTGCAGTCAACCAGAAATGTTGTTGTTACTTATGTGGAAGTACTGGGATGTGGAAGTACTGGGGTTACTTATGTGGAAGTACTGGGATGTGGAAGTCTTGGGGGGATACCAACGTGACAATAGCCACTTGAGCTGTAACCAATGCAGCGAGGTCAGTGTATCGTAACTGCAACAAGCAAAACAAAACATAACAATGTTTTGTCAATTCGAATCATAATTTCTGCATAGATTGGCAAGAGTAATCAAGGGAATTAGGCCAAGAAGGTTAATTTCATAAGCTCGTAAATGACTGGTTTGGAGTTGTTCGATAAGGTAGAATACCAATGCTTTTTCTACTGATTTACCCATCTAAACCATAAACAAAAGAAATCACTTAAACCCCCTCATCTGTTTCATATGTCGCTATCTGAAACCTTCAGAGTGACAAAAACGCTACACACGACAGAAGGGTGACTTAAGATTTCCAGTAGTCAAGCTCCCTTCATGCCGAACAACATCCAAGCAACTACATTCTCTGACTTCTACATTCACTGTATTTGAGGTACAATCGAGTGTATTGTACCAAGACTACTGAGAGCGTAATTCCACTCTTGTTCAAAAGTTTTACAACAGTCAAAATCTAACCTAAGCTTCAAATAGTGTTCTTCATTTAGGTCCTTAAGTTTACTTGTGCCTTGTGGTCCTTTTTTCAGATTAACAATTTACTTACCTGTTCATATGTTTGTGATGGGTGCCACCCGTTTCACGAACACATGGTATCATCAGTATCTAACTGCGAATCACAAACACTTATTATATAATCGGAATTATGCAATGCACTTTTAGTAGAGATTTCTTATGATCATAGAAATATTTTTGCCTCTTTTATTGACAGGTAACATTGCAAACTACTCGGCACATAATCTGTAACCCAGCATAAACGCTAACGTTATCATCATCAACATCTTTATTACGTATGAAGGCCACAGGACCCTATAAATATTATTGTACATATTCCGAACAGGTATGAAGGCGTAAACGAAAAGAGAAAACAATTTCTCAAAGATTCATAGCATTTTACCTGTCTATCTGCTTAGATTATCTTACACCCCCAGTGAAAAATTATTAGTAACATATCTCTGTATGGCTGTACTGGAAGTTTTTAGAATTTTAATACCTATTTCTATGTTTGAACTTTTCTCTCATTTTGTAGGCATAATAGATAAAACGAGCTAGATTATTAATGTCTTCGGTTTTGTTTTGTTTAAGGATATTGCTAAACTACATCATATTAACTTGCAAATTCTTTGGCAAACAAGACTATTTATTGCACTATTTAATCGCGAATGTTAATGATTACAGGAATGTTTTTTGCCTTTTTTGACAGGTAACATTACATACGACTCGGCCATAATATGTAATGGAACACAAACTGTAACATGTAGTCATTCCACGTCACATGAAATACATTCATTCTCATCTTATGAAAAAGGCTTGACATTTCGACACTGGATTTACTGCAAAGCCACACAAACATTTTCATACAGACATTGTAAATACTTGACTTTTCAAACAGTCACAGAAATACATTCTATATCATTTGTGAAGTTCTGAAAGGAATTGGGATCATCATAAAATGCGCCTTAGCACAGCTCTCGTAATCACACTCATGCAAGCAAATAAACAGAGAAAGTTAATTACAGGCCTGACACATGAACAAAGCACTTGTGTTGTTCTGTTGAGGAAATGTAAATTAGGGCATGTCGTTTAATGTAAACAAAAGCAGGAAGTAGCATGGTAAACCAGGAAAACACCGCTATCATTAAAAACTCTTTACACAAATTAATTATCAAGTGCAGAGAACCATATTTATGAAACGGAACCATTTTCATCATGATAATATTTTAGAAGTGGCACAAGTGGTGACGGAAGTCATCGAGAAGCCAATTAGTATCACATCATAACATTCGCAGCCACATATATCCGCAGATATAATAGTTTAATGTAGCAACACGCTATTCACAGTTGACGTGCGTCTTTTGACTGACACCATAAACTATGATTTGGATACTCGTTGTTTCCCAGCTCTTATTTGGTTTTTCAACCAATGCAAACATTGTAAAGAAACATTGTCAACTGATAGAAGAGTACAAGGAATTCCAGAGTACCATGGATACATATCTGGCATCGAGCGACGACGTCTGTCAAGGCGAAACTGAAAACTACACTGGTGAGTGTTACATTGCGTCATCTTTTTTTTAGATTTGGGATTTACTGATGGCCTGATGGAGAGCGTCTGCACGAGGGATGTCCATGGCTGCTTCATACTAAATGAAACCCTTAAACCCTATTTCACTATTTCACGTTTATGAAAGGTTGATCAACCAAACAACCAAAATTCAACGTTGATTCAACGTTGATTCAACGTTGTGTGCCCGCTGGGTAGGGTCTTCTTCAAATGCTTAAATACGACCGGGGCATAGTTTACTGGTTAAAGTGTTCCTTAGTCATGCCACATTTTAGAGTCTCGTCCCCATGGCATTGATTGACTATTTCTGAAAGCGTCGTAAAACCACACTCGTCCGTTTCTCATTCAAAATCTTCAAAATAGGTCCTTACCTGTTTATCTACAGCTACAGACTTGTGTATTACCTGTGTGTTAATGTATCTTTCTATGAACACCATCGGATCCCTCTGGGGTAAAACTGCCACATTTTGATATAACTGCCACTTTCTACATGAATCCATTGTCATGTTAACGGCCTTACAAAACCAAGGAAACATAGAAAATTGTAACTCGACATCCACTTGACAACACTACATTTTTAACAACTGTTGCATTTTGCCCTGTTTGAAAGATTTTCTTTGCATTATTTACCAAAAGACAAACACGTTATATTTCGTTGCCCTATCTAGAGTGCGAGGGAAAAGGGGTTAAAATGCCAGACACATGTTGCTATAACTACCACTTTCTACATGACTCCAGAGTTGCGTCCATATCAGTTATCAAGACGAAGTTAACCGCTTAACAGGATGTTCCCTACAGCTGCTATAGATTGGGTCCGGAGGCTGAATCCAGTCAGGATGTAAAATTAACGTTTATGTGTGACCATCGAATAACTGAGTCACATGAGTACATATGTGAAAGCATCGCCAATCTGAATTGCCTTGCCATGAAAAGGCATCTCAAGGTTTGACTTATGTATTTATGTTCATATTTATATTTATTTTAGATTGTGCAAGTATTTTGAAGGAGTATCCTAATGCTGGGATGGCGTGTACAGGATACAACCCTCAGACGAACAAGGCTCCTTCAAAGCGTACTGCGACATGACCCAACATGGAGGCGGCTGGCTGGTAAGTATATATGTATATATAACCTTCTCATCTGACGATTGCTGAAATAAAGGCGGTTCCAAACATGGTTTATTTGCTGGCAATTTGGCAATCGAACATATTTTCATAGCCAGGAAAAACATACATTTGGGGATTAGAAAAAGCACTGTCAAAAGCAACCATCCCAGCTTCAATGGCACCAACGACATTCTACTCATTCTTTCCTACTTGCCCAAAAAAATACATTTTGGGAAGTGAGTGAGAAAATACATTGTACTTACCAAATGCAACCATCAAAGAGACTGTAGTACGGTAACATCAGTCTCATTCTTATATTTGAAACATAGACTGTTAAGTCTTAATCAGCATGTTAAGGGGTTGGGTCATGACCTTGTGTAGCAATACACACTTTGATTGTTTTATAATCTTGTAACGATTGTATACACCGTAGCACATTTTGTGTTGAAGGTGATTCAGAGGAGAGTGGATGGCCTGGTGGATTTCTACAGGAACTGGTTTGAGTACATGGACGGCTTTGGCAACCTCACCGGGGAGTTCTGGCTAGATAAGGATGTGTACAGAGAATTTGAAAGACCTTTTTCATTACTTTGCACCTTTCTCCTGGAAACAAAAACTCCAAGACGAATACAAGGGTTTAGATTTGATAGATTGTTTTCGGAAATCAAAACAGCTGAAAAAAGAAAGCAAAACACAAATTACTTATAAATGTGTCCCACAATGGTATGTTTACATGTACATGTATTATCATGCATTTTGCGATATTTATGCATATTCTGTTCCAGTTGATTTTGAACATATGGGAACTCATTTGTATAAGATATCGTAAAATATAGTCACAATAATATAGTTTATAATGTTTACAACGTTGACGGTTATTCAAAGCCTGTAGTACCGTGAAAATTCTCACACGCACGCACGCACGCACTCGCTCAAACTCAATCACTCACACTCAGTCTTTCACTCGCTCTCTCGCTCGCTCATTCGCGCATGCACGAAACTCGCTAACTCACTCACTCATTCATATGCGAGCGAAGGCACTAACTCGCTCCCTCTCTCCTTCACTCATTCACACACGCACGAACTCACGCACTCAAACTCTCTCACTCAAACTCATTCTTTCACTCACTCGCTCGCTCCCTCATTAATGCAATTATGGACAAGGATTTACAATCCAACACGATAATTGTCCGCCCTAACACGGCTGGGGTTGCTACGGTGTATTTGGATTCGTTACGTCAATACCATTGACATTAATATGCTCTTCAGACGTCTCCTTATGATCTCAATATCCACCTATTATATTTTTAACTTTATCTTAGTTTCAATTTTTTCATGGAAATATTACTTGGGAACATATTTACCTGAACGTATTGTTTTGTACGTGTACTCGAAAAAAGTATGATATTTCGTTTCAGGTAACGAGAAGATACACCGTCTTACAAAACACACAACGTACGAACTACGAGTGGACCTCACGTTTACAGACGGGCAGGCTGGGTTTGCCCACTACAACAACTTCCGACTAGGCAACATGTCGACCTTCTATGATCTTGATGTCAGTGGGTTCACGGGCAATTCAGGTAAATATTGCCAATAGTATGTGTCTGATTGTTTTCGTTTGTATTTAGAATATTTGACGTTTATATTCTATACGCGCCGTTGTAGTGTTCCTGTGATGTGAACTGAGGTGTTTTCACTTTCATCAATAGATTAAAAGAGAAAACTTTAAAATGTTCTTTATTGCGTTTAGTCCACATACGTTGTTAGAAGTAAACTATGCATTGACATAGTAGGTACAGCCACAATACAAATTCACATGACATGGTTATGTGCATAAGTAAACAGCCACCCTACAGCCTTACATGACCACATTATGTGCATAAGTGAACAGTCAACCTACAGCCTTACATGACCTGGCTATGTACATAAGTGAACAGTCAACTTACAAGCTTACATGACCTGGTTATGTACATAAGTGAACAGCCACCCTACAACCTCACATGACCACATTATGTACATAAGTGAACAGTCACCCTACAGCCTTACATGATCTGGTTATGTGCATAAGTGAACAGTCAACTTACAGCCTTACATGACCTGGTTATGTGCATAAGTGAACAGTCAACCTACAACCTTACATGACCACATCATGTGCATAAGTGAATAGTCAACCTACAGCCTTACATGACCTGGCTATGTGCATAAGTGAACAGTCAACCTACAACCTCACATGGCCACATTATGTACATAAGTGAACAGTCAATAAACAAACTCACATGACCACATTATGTGCATAAGTGAACAGTCAACCTACAGCCTTACATGAACTTGTTATGTACATAAGTGAACAGTCACCCTGGAACCTCACATGACCACGTTATGTACATAAGTGAACAGTCAACCTACAACCTCACATGACCTGGTTATGTACATAAGTGAACAGTCAACCTACAACCTCACATGACCACATTATGTACATAAGTGAACAGTAAACCTACAACGTTACATGACCTGGTTATGTACATAAGTGAACAGTCAACTTACAACCTTACATGACCTGGCTATGTGCATAAGTGAACAGTCAACCTACAACCTTACATGAACTGGTTATGTACATAAGTGAACAGTCAACCTACAACCTTACATGACCTGGCTATGTTCATAAGTGAACAGTCATCCTACAACCGTACATGACCTGGCTATGTACATAAGTGAAGAGTCAACCTACAGCCTTACATGACCTGGTTATGTGCATAAGCGAACAGTCAACCTACAACCTCACATGACCACGTTATGTACATAAGTGAACAGTCAATCTACAACCTTACATGACCACGTTATGTACATAAGTGAACAGTCAACCTACAGCATTACATGACCTGGCTATGTTCATAAGTGAACAGTCATCCTACAACCTTACATGACCTGGCTATGTACATAAGTGAACAGGTCAACCTACAACCTTACATGACCTGGCTATGTGCATAAGCGAACAGTCAACCTACAACCTTACATGAACTGGTTATGTACATACGTGAACAGTCAACTTACAAACTTACATGACCTGGTTATGTACATAAGTGAACAGCCACCCTACAACCTCACATGACCACATTATGTTCATAAGTGAACAGTCAACTTACAGCCTTACATAACCTGGTTATGTGCATAAGTGAACAGTCAACCTACAACCTTACATGACCACATTATGTACATAAGTGAACAGTCAACCTACAGCCTTACATGACCTGGCTATGTGCATAAGTGAACAGTCAACCTACAACCTCACATGACCACATTATGTACATAAGTGAACAGTCAATATACAACCTCACATGACCACATTATGTACATAAGTGAACAGTCAACCTACAGCCTTACAGAAACTTGTTATGTACATAAGTGAACAGTCACCCTGCGACCTCACATGACCACGTTATGTACATAAGTGAACAGTCAACCTTCAACCTTACATGACCTGGTTATGTACATAAGTGAACAGTCAACCTACAACCTCACATGACCACGTTATGTACATAAGTGAACAGTAAACCTACAAGCTTACATGACCTGGTTATGTACATAAGTGAACAGTCAACCTACAACCTTACATGAACTGGTTATGTACATAAGTGAACAGTCAACCTACAACTTTACATGACCACGTTATGTACATAAGTGAACAGTAAACCTACAACCTTACATGACCTGGTTATGTACATAAGTGAACAGTCAACCTACAACCTTACATGACCTGGCTATGTTCATAAGTGAACAGTCATCCTACAGCCTTACATGACCTGGTTATGTGCATAAGCGAACAGTCAACCTACAACCTTACATGACCACGTTATGTACATAAGTGAACAGTCA